TGCTCTCAGTGCTGATGGCAGCAGATGTAACTAGGAGTACTTACTTAGGGCTGTGAGCATTGCCTTGCGTGAGCAGGGGGGAAGAAAGCATCTTAAGCACCCCCCCTCTTTCTGTGAACGTGGCCACAATATCTTTATTATCCCAGCCTGGCACCACTGCTTCTCAGATGGATCTGAGTGCACAGCACTAATCTTCAGATCATGGACCTGCTCTCACATGGTATCCATGTGTGGTTATTAAGGTAAAACCATGAGAAAATCTAGAACTGTTGCAACAGGGTTAAGTTCTCAATATACAGTAAATTGTATGGGAGTTTGGGAAAGATAGTTTCAGTATACATGCAAAGCAGTGAGAACACAAGCTTCCTATTTGGCAGAGTGTCCCAGGAGAAGCAGAGGGTGTTCACAGGATACAGATGTTCAGAAATCTGTCACCATTACACTGTGACAGGTATATGAAATTCAACCAGCAGGCCTGAGTTATCAAACACTGGGTTAAGAGCATCCAATCATTATTCCAGGCCTTCTCTTAGTTCAGCTTCTGGCTTGTTCCCAAGCTTTTCCTCTGAACATCACAACTACAGCGCTTGCAGTGGGAGCTTTAAAGCTGATATCACCAGCACTGTGCTTCTTCCCCCCCTCATCCCCACACCTCTTTCTTTCTTCCTTTCCTTCGCTTTGCCCAAGTAGGTGAAATATTTGCATTAACTTAAAGGGAAAACATTGGCCTTAAAGAGTTTATCTGTCTTCCTGTCTGCTTCTTGTGGTTCCTTATAAAGCCCTTTCCATAGCTGAATCTGAAATAAGTCAGATGGCACAAATGCTCAAACAAATGTTGGAGGCTGATAACCACGTAAATAATCTGTTACACTGACACAAAAGGAGGCACTGGTAAGCAGCTGAACGTTGCTCGCTCTGCTGTTACACAACCTGGCTGTTTGCTGCTCTCAGACGTATCTCACTTCCTGGTTAGGAAGAGTTCAGCTGCCTAAATTCAGGGGTTAAAGAAAGGTCTTACCTGGAAAATCAGTTCAACTGCAAACGGATCTCCTGGGACTTGGGGGGATTTATTTTAGGCAAAAGCAAGTGGTGTGGCTGGCTGTCCTTTACTTAGCACAGGGTCGAGGACTGCCCAGCTCCCTTCCTGGGGAATGTCCTTTCTCTCAACTTGCTTCCACCCGCCTCTGTCAGACTGCAAGAGCTGAAAGAGGAGGAGAAAAAGAAAAAAAGAAAAGGGTGGAGCACAAGAGCTGGAGTGAGCGAAAAAGAGTGACAGCACTGACTCCATCCACATTCAGAACCTGGTCTTTATTAGAGCAGAGGTTGCCTGACATTTTCATTTGTCTCATGCTGCCAGCAGCAAATCTCGGGCTAAGAAGAAAAGGGGGAGCTTTTTTGTTTTGCTATCTAGCCAAATGCACGTGAGTGATATAAACTTACCCTGGGTACTGGCTTACTGGTTCTTTGGGTACGTGGGAAAGAATCCTTGCATTCATTCTGTCTGAAAAGCAGTGAGATTTCTGCATGGGGTCTTGCACCTGTAAGCCCCTGCCTCAGTCAGCCCACACCCTAACTTCAGAGTTTGCTTAATTCACACTTTTTAATTTACATGCTTGTTTGCTTTTTTTTTTTTTTTTTTTTTTTTTTTTAATTTTATTTTATTTATTATTACAGCAGATTTTGCAGAATGAAATTTCACAGGATAAGGCTGGGCCAGCAGTGTGCCTGCTTTGATCTCAGCTCAGTTTAGCATCTAAGGATGCTGTGGTGGTGAATATGAAGTGTGAACACGTGGGGAACTCCATCCCCTCAGTGTGCTTCACACTGCTTTTCTCTGTACACGTTGCTTGCATTCTTCCAAGTTAGGACTTATTAATTCTCAATGTACACGGATGGATTCTTCTCTGTTAAGTCCCTCCTTCATATTTAGTATCACTAGCAAGTTTTGTTCAAGCATTGATTTATTGTGATAACTGGTAGAGATGGTAAATCAGACCCAAGATGCCTGTGGTAACACAGCTCCACTGCCATATCAAAATGTGCCTCTTTATCATCCCCTCAGCATCCAGTGTTTCACCCAACCAGACAGAACCAATGCCCAAGGTGAGAGATGCTCACCTTGTAGCATTGTTACCTGCCTTTCTTGGGCTCCTCTGGTCATGTCCAACCTGATGAAAAGAGAAGCCTCACGTTCCCTCTGTAGAGCTTGCTGTACATGGGCTATTCCATTCTCTTTTCACATGTCATTTCAACAAAGAGCAGCCCAAGTACAAGCAGGGAAACCAGTAGTGCTGGGGGGAACCATACTAAGAAGAAGTCCAAGGTCCCATCACCGCACTGTGCATGCAAACCCAGCCACAATCCTTGCCTGGAGTCATTGCTCCTTTAAAACCAAGAGTTCTCATCCGGTACTGCTTGCACCCAAGGAGGTCAGAGGACTAAAGGTAAGATAAGGTTCTTCTTAACTGGAAAGCCCTACCACAGACTTTCCATTTCAGCTCTGTGTCATATCATCATGGCTCACTCCAGACTTAGCAGGCCAATAAAATGCAATTACTGCTGCTGTGTAGCATGGCCATGATATGCATAAAGCCCCACTTGAGTCCGTCCTCAAAAGTGACAAAGGGCAAAGCCCAGCCCACGTCACACAGAGCACTTGACCAGCGATGACCCATAACTCAATTTCCCAAACTTGGCAGGAGCTGAAGCTCGTTGAGCATTTTCCAGAAGAGCATCAATGTAATTGCACATAGCTTTTATTTATTTATTCATTTAAACTGCCGCCAGCATTTAATTTATTACTGAAATCTTTCTCTCATCCTGACTCTCCGGAGAGGCTGCATCAAATATTCCTCCCTCCCCCCTTTAGCAGAGCATTACATGCTGCAATGTTTGCTTGGAGAAATACAAGCATTAATGCACCCTGGCTAGGGGAGTGTTGTGCAATTGAGTGTCTACTCACCGTTGAGCAGCTCCCACTGTAGTGCCCTCTGCGATGGGCTCTGTAACAAAGTACAGATTATTATGTTAGCTGGGTGCTTAATATAGAAATGGTGGGGTATTTTACTCATCTAGCTGGTCTGGGGTGGGAGGAAAGAAAAGAGGCTTTTAAACTAATAGAACATCTGACATGTTTTAAATGGAATAAAATCTTAAATTCTTACACAGCTTTCAATTCTTCCATACTGCTGAACTCTCAGTGGCTGCTCAAAATAAAATGCTACACATCCCAAGCTGAGCAGTGTGCCCTATCCCACCATTTCCAGAGGGATTTTAATACCTGTATGCCACTCTAATATGTGAGTAGTAAATAATATTCATGGCCTGCAAGCAATATTTATAATGGTAGAGCTCATGCTTCGTATTCATTGCCTTGATATTGCATATCAAGCAGCTGTGGCTGCGTACCTCCTCTTTGCATCGCTCACATGCAGTCTGGGTGCTGCAAGGAGTCCTCCGATGGGCCAAGGGAAGAGCCTGCAATGGCAGCAGTGACTTTTGCCCGTGGAAGGTGGTAGCTGTGCTTGAATTGCTTGGCTTTCTCTTGGCAGAGAATAGACAAGATCTCAGTTTGAGCATCTCTATCATCTGAGACATCTTTCTGAGAGCTGGTGAGAGTCAAAAATTCTCTCTTCTCTTTATCTTTACCCTGCCAATATGAGGTTTTTCACACAAGCTAACACCAAGCATGCTAATGCAGACCAAGAAGACCACTCTGGCCTGCAGGGCCTTTCGGTCCAGAGGGTTTCAGCATAAATCTCTTAAATGCGAGTGGTCATAAGTCAGTTAAACTCCATTTCAGGGGGAACAATAAGCTTTTCTACATGAACGGTTTTATCTCATTTTAAATAGCTGCTTTGATGAAAAATATATCCATTTACGTGGCTTTTATTTTCCCATGGATCACGACTGCTGTGGTGGACAGGACAGAGTTAGATCCTCAACAGCATGTGTCCCCAGCACCCTGGGCCATCCTACAGTTCCCTGTGCTTCTCCCAGCTCCAGCATGAGTATGGGGAAGCAGAAGTTGTCCTCCATTTCACAAGCAGTGATCACACCCTCAACGCATCCTTCTTCATCTTGCCAAGGCTGAGTGGAGGGGCATGATGGAGGTTGTGCTGAAGACTTGTCTGCCACCCAGAGAGGGGTTTGGTGGCCACAAGGTGGGAACTGGGAAGGAGCAGAGCTCATGTGTCACTTGGCCAGACCCGACTGCTCATGCCCATCTGTCCCACAGCAGTCTCGCTCTGGCCAGGAGCTGCTGAGCATCCTGAGTTCTAGCAATGGCCATGCTGGGGGAAAAGAGGTGCCAGACAGGTAGGTAGGGAGCTCTTCCTGAGCTGGGCAGGCCCTGGCTGGTCTCACACTGCATTATTGGGGTTATGCCATTGGCAAGCTTGCATCCCTCTCCTTACCACCAGCTTCCCCCTCAGCACAGCCTACAAACGCACTGCCCAAAACACTCCTTACCAATTGGGATGTAAAGTCAGCATCAGTGAAGTCACGTGTAAATATTTTCAAAGGAGAAATATATCTAACCAGAAACAAAACCTGAAACCACGGCCTGGACATCCCCATCTGCAGCCACCCCATGGCAAATCCTCCTGGTGCAGTCTATCCCCATAACCACTGTCAGCCAAGAGAGAAGATTTCTTCCCATTCAAACCATTGGAGCTTGGGGGTCCTCCTGCAGCCTGCTGCAGCTCACATACGTGGTGCTGCAGGTGCTCAGATGTCAGTTTCAAATCTCAGCTCTGCAAAAAGCACGTGAGCTCCCTCCTTCCCTCTTCATCAGACCATTGCATCCACTGCCTCAAAAATACTGCAGTGCCTTCCAAAATCAATACACAATATGCCCCCAGAGCACCTTTGGAGACCCAGGGTGTTAATCTTTCTCTCTTCATTTCAACATCCTACCTAGACACTGGATATATTCCATTCTCCCAGCTTTTTTGTGCAGATATATACACTTCCAAGATTAAGCAGTTAATAAATGCCATCACGTTAAGCTGTAATTGCTGAAGGGAAGTGTGACAGTGTAATGTGTAATGGGTCTCAGCGAGGCTGGACCCTGAGCTGCTTTCATTTCACATTTTCTAATGAGAGCTGTTGGTCACGCTGTCAGAGCCACACAGGGCATTTCTTCCCCTGCTTCTCTGGCACAGAGCTGCAGTGGGCAAAATCCACAGCAGAGCCCATGATCAAAGGAGGAGGTGTATGGGGCAGTACTCATCCCTGAAGGACATGGTTGAGATTCTCTCCAATTTCCCTCCATTTTCACCATCATTGGTAGCAGCAATAGCAGGGCAATGCTTTTTGCACGGATAGAAAGGCCTCATCTGACCATAAAGCTGTTACATTGGTCTTAATACAAAAACCAGAAGAGATACCTTTAAAATTAAATCACTGATCACTTGCAAAAACTCTGTACTGTTGCCAAATGAGTATAGAAAACAGTCCGTGACCAACACACGCAATCCAGCTGTACAGGTGTGACCTACCTGCACAAAGAGGGCCTGCAAGGCACCAAGCTCTATCATTGTCAGCCTCTATCATTATCAGCCTGGGTATTCAAACCTGTTTACCATGTGCAAAGAATATTTTTGCAAAACGTTTCAAGAGGAAATTACTCACAGCTAATCCACAGGTGCACTGATGGAAGGAGAAGCATTTACCATAAGGAATACTGTGGGGAAAAAACACTGCTGTGAGCGGGATATAAAGCAACCAAAAGAGCATCTCAAAGGGAAATAGTCTTTAATTGGCCTAAACAGAAAATATACTGGCTTTAATTCATGCGTTTTCCATATAGAGATCTAACTTGTATTACAGGAAAATATGCATATATAGAAATACACACACGCATATATTAGCTGTGAAAAACGAAATCCCCACCTGGCTCTCAGCCTGCTTCTCCAAAAAAATCTCCTCCAAAAGAAAGCTGCTGTTTCAGTGAGAAGGCTCTCGTTGAGTTCAGGGGGAATGACACTCAGCCCTATTTCAGGCAGTCAGCCTGGAAACACACAACACGAGGAACAATTACATGAGTTCTGTCATTCCCGCTGCTCAGATATTTTAGGTTTTGGAAAGGTAGGTGGGAGGGAAACCTTTTATCTCCATGAAGAGCAGGAAACAGAGATGCACAGTGACAGCAGAAACTTGCATCTTCAGAAAACACATTCATTGTAATTCACTATCATGCATCACAGAAATCATGCACGTTTGGGATGACACCACTGTCCTCCTCCCTGTTGCTGAATCAGGAGCAGGGAAAAAACAGCGGAGATGCTCTGGGTTCACAGTGCTACCCCCCAGACTCACCCGAGGTGGTTTGGCTGCATGAAGGAGATCTGGAAGCAATGGGGATTCAGAAGCATGGAGCTGGTCCTGCAGGGGTCTTCTACACCAGCCTTCAGCGTTCAGTAGCCCCAGTGCAAACACAATCAGTATAAATCATGAGCATGGAGCTGGGTGTCTGCAGAGCGATGTATTTTCCTGGTGGAGAAGCAAAAAGTGGTGGAACAGGGGTTACTGTGGCAACCTGCAACTCTTGCCTCTCCTCTCCGCTGTGCTCAGGAGCAGTGCTGAAGGACATGGATGTCACATCAAGGTGGCACTGCAGGGACTGGGCCAGCATGAACAGCACAGACACAGAGTGGGAGGTATGCAGCACCCGCAGCTCCATGGGAGAGCAGGCACCAGGGGCTGCAATGGCTCCGTGCTCCAACACCTGCATTGCTCTCCATTGCATCCTCTGAACATGTTCTCATTTCCCACATCTCCTCTGCAAAATGCCATATCCTGCCCTCTGCAGCACCACCTCCAGCCCCTGACCCACAGCAGCATTATTTTCCCAGCAAGTATCAGTTAGATCCTTGACCACCCAAACTTCAGACTGGCCTTTACTGTGAGGTGACGAGTCTGGCAGCACCACTTCTGTACGTTTCCAGCCCATAAGGTAAAAAGCAGCTAATTTCCATGCTGCATCATCACGCTGTCACAAATTAATGCTACAATCCAGGTCACTATTTCCTCCCAGGCAGATGCTGAGAATGCTGTCATGCTGGAAGATTGTCACCAGCCTTCCCAAAGCAGATATTCAACAGGAGCTGTAGTAAGAAACAGGCATTGAGAAGTGGCTGGAGGCCACGTCTTTGCCCACGGAAGAACAAGGCAAGCACTACAAGCAACCACCAGTCCTCATGCTGTTCTTTTGCCAGTTTTTACCCGCTTTGCTATTGTTCTTAACCAATTCCTACCTTTACCAGCTTAACTAATAATTTTATAGGCAGTATAGTATTGTGAGCTTTACTGCCATGCAAAAGCTCGAGTCTCAGGGCTCATTACTTCCCTCTAGAAGATCACAGCAACCCAGTGGTTAACATGGCTGCCATCTGTAATTTCCTGATGCTGGTGCTGAGAGGCACCAGTGCTCAGAGGCAGCCGAAGTATCCCATCTTTGAATTTGTCTCTCCCTTATGCACCTGAGATCGGTGGCAGTAAATATGCTGCTCTCTGGCAATAACTGAGAGCTGCACGGCTGCTGGGGACTCTCCGAAAGGCCCCTGCCATTGAACAGGAGCTTCCTCTGCAAATTTATCAAAGGCTCTCCTGAATGTTTCATTGTAAGAAAATTTGACTGCTTGTTTACGAGGCCACAAAGCTACCCAATTTCAAACCACAAAAATCAATGTGCTAAGTGCATCAGTTACCACTCTGGGTTGCTGCTCCTGCTAACCCCACCGTCATTTTCCATCACTTTGCACAGGGTCAACAACTTCTCCTAATTTAGCTTCATCTGCAAACTTGCATAAAACACCTTCTAATCCTACATGCAAATCAAAACACAGCCCCAGAGCATGCTGCAGAGACCAATGCTGCAGCCCCAGCCATGTCTGCAGTGATACCCTGTTGCTGCTCATCCCTCTTTACCATCCCTTCAGCCTTGGGCCAGGGCTTGGAAGAGTTGCGCCCATGCTGTGCATCCCTATCATTGCACAGCTTTCATTTTGCTTTCCTCCCCTTGGAAACCGTTGTGTGTTCTAGAAAGCTGCACATCATATATTAGTCCTATTCCCAGCCTCAACAACATCGAGGTGATTTTAGAGGAACGCGCTATGATTTAGTACCATCAGTAAACTCTGCAGAAGCAGTGAGAAATACAACCCCAGCCACGATCCACACAGAACCCACCCACAGCCTCCCCAGTGCTAGCAGCATCCCCTCAGCCCTTTAATTCCCATCATCTGCCCCATTTGTATCCCGCCTCACTGCTGCCCTTGGTTAACGATCTGATTTTGCATGTTATGTGTTCAAAACGCTCCCTGGCAATAAATGTTTAATTTCTTTCGCTTGTGGCACCTTTGTGAAATATTTATGATCACTAGATGTCACTGTAATTTTACTGTCTCCAGCCTTACCGAACCAGTGCGATTCCCCATGCTCTGCTTGCTCGCAGCTCCTCGTGCAGAATGCATCAGCGATGCGCCCAACAGCCAGCTGCTGCCCTGCTTGGGTGTCCTGCATGGCAACACAGCACAGACCTCATCCTGGACTTTGCCTGCGTTCTCCCAGCACTGCAGTTAATCACACAGGGGTAGGAGCCCAGGTATGTCTGCAGAGCATCTTTCTGTTACCTTAAAGATTCTTACAGAATATATTTCTTCCAAGTCAGCTCAAGCGCACACTCTCAATTTCCCTAAATTGTTACTCCTATGATTTCTGAGTTGTACACATCTTTTGCTGTATATAATTTAAATGTTATGGGCCACATTCCTATAATCCATAAACATGCATGGGATCTTTTAAATTGAAAGCAAACAAACAAACAAACAAAAACAGTAACAGAGAAATGTATAGGAATACCCACACCTTGACCACATGTCTCTGTCTGCTGATGCTACACAGGTCACTCACCCCAACCACATCCCATTGGGGAACGCACTGAAAGCAGGACTTCCAAGAAAAATCCATTCTCCAGAATGCAGCATGAAGGTTCCTGATGCAGAGCTGGTGGCTGAGCTGTAAAAACAAAGCTCTTTGCTGGCATCTTTTGGTGAGTGAGGAGAAGGAGCTGAGGGTCAAATGTTCCTGTTCCAGGAGAACTCCGCAGTCAGGGGAGGGAAGATGCTGGTTTTCTCTCTAGTGAATGAATGAACAAAGACATGGAAAAGTAGGGGGAAGAAAATCAGATCCTTTTTGGATAAGGAATCACTGCCACAGCTGAAAGTATTGCAGGGAATGAGCAGTGGGCAGAACAGCAGGCAGAGCAGCACAGAGCAACACACCAGCTTTTGTTGCTGCCTCTTTCACCTGTCCAACATTATTACTACATCTCAGGTGCTTGAATGCATTACATTCTGCAATCAGCACTGTCTCACCTTTGATGAGCTTTTCTATTTGGAATTCATTATAAAGAGCTTAAATGAGCAGCAATGCTTCTGAACAAGCGCTTTATTTTTCCATGTAGCCACCAGAAGAGCTTTGTTGATTCCCCTGAGGTCAAGCTCTTTTCATTTTCTCTGCCAGCCACAGTATAAAAACTCCTACATTTCCTTTGAATTCTGTTGATTATTTGGAACCACTGAGTGCTCTCTTTGGAAACTCTCCGCTGCAAATCTATCCCACTATGATGCACCATATTTTGCCTAATGAGTGAGAGCGACATACAAATCAGGAGCTAAAGGGATTTGAAAGTGCTGCCAATGAATTTAGAAAAACGTTAGGGCTATGCTGCTAATCCTGAAAATGAATGGGAACCTTGCCCATACAACCATCCCTGTGTTAGGGGAGCAGCAGGTAGGCAGAAGCAGCTCTGTGCTAATTGGAGACTTATTAGTTCTGAATTAAAATTAACGTAGAGTCACAGCAGCACTTTGCTTGGGGCAGGAGGAGAGTTTTTGAGGTGAGCACCCTAATCCCAACCCTATCCCTTGTTTGCACTTGTCAATACAATGCTTTAATGGGCACGGTGATGATGGGCTGATGACTGGACTAGATGAGCTTAGGGTCTTTTCCAATCTTAATGATTCTATGATGCCAGCTCTCCCTTGGAGTTCCTCTGCCAGCAACAGTGCTGGAGAGGCTTTCATCAAGATAACTGATTAAAATGGTGAGGAAGGATAGAGAAAGCAAAGTGCTGAAGTGGCTAAGTAATGAAAATGACATCCTGGATCAGGTTTTGTATTTACAGCAGACTCTCCTCAAGTTTCTCAAACTCTTAAGGAATTTTATGAATTTTCTTACATGTTTTGAAGGGTTATAAGTTATCTAGGAATCTGACTGTGCATACATAAAAAGCACTGGAGCAGCTCAATTAAAGGTGGAACGTCTTTAAGCCCCATTAAACATGGGCAGCTCCCTGCTCATAACATCTCTTGTCAGGCCATTGGCTTACTTCTGTGTAATTTGAGCCAATCAGGAGCCCTTTCAGTAGAACCCAACATAAATAATTATCAGTATTAAGTGAGAGACTGCATATTGAGAACTTCCTTCACCCACTTCTTTTTAGTGATTGAAAAACCAAGTTAAGATTACACGGAGCACAACTCAAAAGCTATGCGAAACACCCTTACACAGGCATTAGCGTAAATCATATTTTTTAAGCAGATTTAATTGCTGTTTACCCAGCAGTACCCCAGAAGACTAACTTAAACAATACAGTGCCATGAATTCATAGCACAGATTAGTTAAAGCAGATGGCGAGCCCGTGTGGATGCACTCCGTCAGAGAAAACACAGCCATAATTGGATTTATTTTAATTCACTTATCCTTTGACTACAGGAGAAATGCTAGTAACGTTGCTCACGCAGACAAGCCATGAGGCTAGGGCTTTCAAGGAGCTACTGCCTTCATTGTCCACCACGCTGTGTTAAAAACTGGACCTCAGGGATGGACTCCTTCCACCAAGAAGCCACAGCAGAGCCCAGCTTACAGCTCACCCAACCAAGGCCCTGTGGAAGCCACCAAGGATCCGAGCCCAAAGGGATTGAAATAGCCCATCTCTAAACAGTCACATGAATACTGAATCAAGTGGCAGCCAGAAAGTCTCGCTGTCTCAAAGCCCCAGTTTCTCCCCCAGCCATAAAACCTGCCAGGCAAACTCTCCTCTGTTTCATCACAAACCAACACGCCTTTCCAAAAATTAATTTGTTTTTGCTTGTTCTGGTTGCAATCATTGCTTGCGTTCTTGAGAGTTTGCAAACATGCTTGAATTAAATTATGGGTCTGGTCGCATAATTACATCCTGCACAGTTTTAATTCATTCTTTGCTCCAGTTTAATGTCCTGGCTTTGTGCGCAGCATGCTTAAATGTCCAGAGCCACAGCATTCTCACCCTTTATGCCATTGCAAATTCCCTGCAGCCACTAGATGTCACCACGATTTTATTTGCTTTCTAGTCTCTACCCAGCTGGTAAAGTTAAGAACACAGGAAAATAATTACTAATTAATTACAACAACAACAAAACACCTACCATAATGAACACTTTGCTTAGAGAGAGGAAGAAGTGGTCCGGACTCCTGCTTTTATGCATGCCATCTGTGAGAGTACCCATCCTGCACACAAGGATACGACTTTAATTTGTCTCTTGATGGAAAAAGGACAGTTTTATTTCTTGATGATCCAATTTCCCCAGCTAGACATGAAGCTAAAATTACTTTTTTTAATACGTTTACCAGAGCACTATTTAATTCTCCAGCCTCGCTAGCTTGAAAATTATTCTCCCACTCAGTAATTCTGCTGGAACAAAGCAGCTGACAGCCAGCTGCATCACCTGGGAGGGAAGTGGCCAAGGGAAGAGGTGGTGAGGAGATGAACCAAGTGGCTCCACCACACCAGCCATAATCTGGAGGATAAGGATTAGAAGTGGTGTGCATGATCCCACAGAGCTCCACTTTGTCACACCTCACAAGCACAAAGTCACATAGATGCAGCGCAGAGGTGGAACTGTGGGCCCAACGAGATGCTTGTGCATTCTCACCTCCTTAATTACCCAAATGTCCAGCAACATTAAAGTCCTTCAAATGGGCCTGAGGCTAATAATCCATCTCCTAGATCATGCAGTAATTTGTCAGATCGCTGTGAGACTGCCTGACTGTGGATAAGCCCTGAATGGCATAAATTATTGCATTCCAAGAGGGACTCCTCATTTAACATTTCCTTCCGGATTTCCCAAGTCAGCCCTTACCAGGAATGGCACTAACCTTACCTCTGCCCACCCTGTTTATGTTGTTTCTTCTCACAGAGGTAAAGCAACACCCTCCCACAGCAATAACAACAGGGGATGCCTGTGTTTGTCTTAAGGATCATCCTGTACCTCCAACAGCACCTATTCTTTCAATCTTTAGTCCATTGTCTTCCAAGAAAAGCAAAACAAAGCAGGTCTTACTGCTCTTTGAGTCGAGTCTGTTATTTTCAGTTTTGTTTCAGAACACATAATATAATTAATGTAAGAAATAAGAGAGGCTCAGAACTTCATCCAAAGGTGCAAAAAAGATCTCGACTTCAAAATATTACTATCCAAGTTGTTCATCTTAAGTCTGGTTTATGATTACTTTTTCCAGCAGTGCTGCTGTACGTGAAATTAATTGCACCTCATGTACTTTCTGTAGAGAAAAGGATGAAACATATTATGCATTTTATCAGTACTTCTTGCACAAATATATAAAGAGCAAAGGTTGCTTATTTTAATTTCTTTCATGCAAGTATGTCTGCAACTGTCACTTTATAACTTGCTACTGATTGTAAAGTTGATGCAGGTTATCTTTAATTTCAGAGTTTTCCTTAGGAAGTAGCCTTCTTCTAGGATTAACGAATTAATTTAAATTTAAAATTACCTCTTTTAACAAAATATCTTCAGTTCTCTCTGATAGTAAAACATGTGCAATACCCAGTGGAACTGGCCACATCTTACTTTCATAAGAAAGACAAAAAGAAGTGTGGCTCTATGTAGGTCAAAGTCTTTCATGTCTCATTTCCTCTACTTTTCTCCTCTCTCCTCTTGCTTCCCACACCACCCTGCTCACAGATAAGAGATCCATCTGGCAGACAGGGTAGGTGGTCCTATACCCACATACCTTATCCCTGGTAAGAGGTGATGGATGCTCCCTACAACTCCCTGACAGGAGGTTGCAGTGAGGT